ATGAAAGCTATCCATTTGAGATTTCTAGATATAATGGGTTATCTAGTTTGCTATTATCATATGACTTCTTAGGCTCCTACAAGAACGGTGTGTTTAATACATTCACAACTTTGGAGATTCTTGTCATGTGTCTTGCCCATGTATGTCTGATCTCTGAATTGTGTGTACTAAAACTAAATTCCCTCTGGGATTAATAAAGTATCTTTGATTTGATTTGATACAGATGAGTCTTATAAACAAATCTCCCCATTTATGGTTGAAGTTACCTCGATTTGATTTAGTGTCCATGATTTCAATAGCATTGATTTATGATCAGAGCCTAGTTCTTTAATAATTATGAAGACTATAGCAGTTATGTACATACCTCTACCTTGTGTTAGCCAATCTATATCGTTTCTAAATTAAATGTTTTTGTAATTTAAAATTGAACTCCTTCTGTGTAGGTTAGTGAATGCTTTCTGTTGTTTTTACAAATTCTTTATTTTGCCCCTACTTTTGAGCAGATTAGCTCCCACTTTCTTATCACCTCCTTAATTCAACAAGGACGGAGCTGCAGCTCATTTGACAGCTCTCGCCCTTGACTCATCATCATTGTTTTGTTATTGCTAGACAAGCTTTATAAGATGACACATACTCTAAATGACCCTTAGATTTGCTCAGTAGTATGATGACCTGACAACTGCTATGTGATGGTCACGTTAATGTGAGAATGACCTGATTACATATGAAGCTAGTAGTTTTTACGTTTGTCAGTCTTTTATTTTGGATTATTTTTTGTTGCTTTCTGAGTATAAATCCTTTAGTTGTTCATTATCACATTTAGTTAGACTCCTCTGCTTGACCCTTAAGCTACTTGGCTCGAAGGACCAAACAATGTCATGGATTTTATCAATATGTTTATCAATAACCCATTACCTATAGTGAAGAGAGAATGAGACAATGAGCAGACGCGTCAAACAGTTATAACTGTGGCAAGATGCCGAAGCAAATGCCCCGAACATCTGTTTACATACTTTATAGAGAGGAAGATCAGAAAGGAGGAGTGAGGTCATTGTGTGAGAGAGAGAGAGTCAGTGTGTGTATGAATACAAGAATGTGTGTGTGTGTATGAGAGGATTGCAGAGAGGTATAGAGCAGTACAGATTACATCCAGATGGTTGAGTCCATGGTCAAGAATTAATAAACATAATTTTTTCCATAATGAAACCAAACTTTGTGGTCCAAATCAGCAAAGAGAGAATAACCACATTTCAAGTAGAATAAATTTATACTTTTTTAAATTTCTGTCAGCTTTGATGTCTAAATTAGCCCAAAATCTTCTGTTTTGTTAGCCTAGTGAACTAGACCAAATTCTTGCTTTGCAAAGTTTGGTCTAGGAACGCTCCACTGGAACCTCTGCAGCCCCCAGCAGCATTCTGGATGGCCAATCACAGCTCTCTAGAGGGGTTTCAAACACATAAAGAGCTGCGATTGGTCCATAATGGTGGGCCAATCATAGTGCTCTATCTGCTTAGTGAACAAATCACAGAGCTTTATCCACTTTGTGGACCAATCAGGGCACTCTATAGGCCTGGTGGGTGGGATGATGCACCTGAGTGAAACAAGATGGCGACAGCTCGTTTGAAACGGCTTTTACATCTATTTTGGACTATTAGAACTTGGACTTCATTAGAATCAGGAGCAGATAGATGTATTTAAGTGCATTTTTTTTAGAAAAAAATTATCTGTTTTCTCCTTCTTCATCTGCGGATTGCCTCATTTACCGATGGCTGTTGCGGTGAGTATGTCACATTCATTGTCCAGTGGAATGCGGAGATCATTCGAAAGACAACGGTAGAATCCGCCCCACAACCGAGAGCCATCAATGGAGCGTTGCCAGACTAAATATTACGTTTATTTAGTCTGGCTTGCCAGGCTACTGTTCTGTCTCATTTGTCCAAAGGAAATTCTGCCGAAACATTTGTGGTATGTCTTCGTGCATTTAGGTGAACTCCTGTTCTTTGGATAATAGATATCCACCTTTTCAATCTGTCATCAAATGTCTTCATAGGGTCGGTGATAGGAGATTGTCTTTAGTTCTTTACATCTCAGAGTCAGTGGCGGATTTAGTACTTTGAGGGCCCAAGGCAAACACAGACGTGGGGCCCCTTACACAAAAATTTTCGACAATTTTACGTTTAACTGGATTTGCGAAACTCTTTCCTCTTCTGCCATGAGTTATTTTCTCTTTTTATTAGTCCTCCTCTTTTTTCCTGTCTTTCTCTCTTTTTGAGTGTTTTCAAAATTTGCTCTACTTTCTTCTTCTTGTCAGTGCTCCTGTGCTTTTGCCTTGTTTTTTTTTTCTATTTTCCATTTTGGTCTATGTTTTCCTCCCTTTAAACATTTTCCATTGTCTTTCCTTTCTGCTTCCTTTGATGTTTACATTGAAAAACGATGTCACTTTCGAAAGTGAAGATAAAAACTTTTTTAAAGCAAGCTGCTAATTTCTCTTATTAGAGCCACCAGGATAACTCCATTTCATGCTTAATGTTTTGACTACCACTTCAAGTTTGTTACGAATGCTCCCGCCTCTCTTCTTCTTCCTTTTTGTAATCTTATGGCACTTGGCAATAAACAATTTGGTGCATTACCGCCACCAACTGGATTGGAGTGAAATGACTACCAATCACTTCCTGTCTGTGCATCGCCGTCTTAAATGGATAGTGCATTGTGGCATTAACAGAGGGGTACCGGCAGTCAGGGCTAGGGGGCCCCCGAACACAAGGGGGCCACAGGCGGCCACCGACCTATGCTTAATGGTAAAACCGCCACTGCTCATAGTTCTTGGTAACTTGTACTACTGCTGTCACAGTCTTCTAGCCTTTACCATTTTATATTCTGATGAACAAAAGTTGTTCTAATCTTCAGAGACAGCTCTGTTATTAGCTTTTTAAGATCCATAATAAGAGTGGTACACACCCTGATACCAAACAGTACTGTGACCACTTTGCACCCTTTAAACAGCCAAACCGACAAACTAAAAGGACACACATTAGTGTAAATTATCTGGTCAAATTATTGACAATCTTTTTAAGAATTACCATAATTTAGGTTCAGGACAGTGTTTTTAATTCCACTGAACCAGAATTCAAAAGCATATTTTTATTTTGTTCATTCTGCGTAGTTAGATTTTCCTTCTTCATCGTTATTTCTTTGTCTTTAATTGAATGCTAGACATTTTACCTCCTCAGTAGCTGTGTGAAATCATCAATTTTTAAACAATTATATCCTAAAAACCTTCATTGGATCATTTAGATACGAAGCTTCAAAAGAGCTCCCTCCACAGAACATGCTTAGTAGTTCCACACAGCCCTGTTCTCGAGAGATTAACGTTCTACTTTTTTAAGGTTTACTGGAAGATTACAGTGATGAACCGAATAGGGCTGAGATATTTTTTCCCAGAGTGACGTGACTAATCTTTGGTATTACAAGACATTCTTAATTACTATTGCCATGTGGTAAATGCTGTTTTCCTGTCATTTTTTAGGATTTTCGGGATAATAATAATCCACGGCTGTTCTTTCACTCAACAATGCGTATTTGTTGTGCTGCAGCATGAGAAGCTTTCTTCTTGGCATTCTCATAGCAGGCTGATCAATGCAAATCAGAGTGTAACATCAGGACACACACCATAACACAGATTATATATATATATATATATATATTACATCTAGCATAGCATAGCATTCTTCTCTACCATCAACATATTACCATAAAGTTTTGACTCCATGATAAAATAGTTTCTAAATTTAAACACTAAATCATTCATCAGGTAGCTTTAAAGCTTCGAGAAGTGAGTTGAATGCTTTTTTAAATCTCCAATCTTTTAACCCTCCCACTGTCCTAATGGGTGACCCCGCAAGGAAAGTTGACCATTGAGCAGGATGAATGGTTTATCCCTTGAGGTCCACGTGGCAGGAGTGAGCACTACCTCACCCCTGCCACGTGGAGCTCAAGGGATAAACCATCAGTCCTGCTCAATGGTCAACTTTCCTCATGGGGTAACCCATTAGGACAGTGGGAGGGTTAAAGTTTATCTTTCCCAGTGAGTTGTTTATGGCTGATTTTGTTGTTGTGACATGAAAAACCGACACCACTGGTCATGTTTGTGCTTTTAAAAGTTTATCTGAATGCCTCTAGGTGGCATCAAAGTCCCTATACTGGTTCCTCCAGTTAAGTGTTTTTAGCATGTTGAAATACCAGTTTGGGACTCAGTAAGGGAAAGTAATTACCTGGTGTTTGTCAGAATTTGCTCCCATAATTGTGCATTTGCTCCTAGATGTGTTTAGTGTAAACATTTTGTTGTTACGGGTAAAGGGTTTAGAGATGTTGTGTAAATCATGTGCTAAACAAATGTTTTTGACAAATAAAGTCACATCATTTTCCCTTATTCTGATACCTTCTAAATTCACATTGTTAAAAATGCTTTTTTTTTAAACAACCATCTTTCAAAAGCAGAATATTTCAGGTTTTCTTCCACTGAATGTGTCCTCTCATTTTTTAAATTAGACAAGATAGGACATGCAAATAAGTAACAGAAGAACACGGCTGTTTCTCATGCTGGGGCCCATCAGCCCAACCCTCCTTCACCGTTTTCCCTCCCTCTTTTCCCTTGCCAAACAGGATCTGTAGGATCTCACAGAGTCATTTTCTCAGGAGACTGGAATGTCAGAACACCAGACCAAATGCCTGCTGGGACATGCTCCCTAGAATCTCTCAGAACTTACAGGAAAAAGGCATCCAGAAGGAGTGTTCACACAGACAATCCATTTCCAGTAAGTGTTGGGAAACAACCTTCTCATGGAAGATTGGATCTTTGTCGCCAGGTGTGTTGCACTGACTCATAAAGCTGTCTGATGGATCACCCTGCCCAAGCATTGAAAGTGTTCACAAATTCAGAACCATCCTGTGGAAGGTTCTGCTTCTGTTGGAGTTTTTCAGTATTCAGCAAAACACAAACATGTAAGAAAAAGGCATTTGCCATTTTATTATTTTTTTCATGGAGACTCTGGCATGTGTACAGCTTATGTGTACACTATTGCATTACAGACAGGCTAGTCACTCAGACTAGAGAAAACCCAATAGTATGAGAACATAAATATTACACAGAATGTGGTATTCATAGAGTTTTCAAAGAAACGACATACAATTAAAGAAATGTAAAGGATAACATGGTTGATTTATCAATCACCCCATTTCACCAACTAAATCACAGACGCTAAGCACAGAAGCTGCAGAAATGTAACAAAAAACACGTAATGCTGCATTTATCCATTAGGCTTGGATACACACAAACACATTCATGTCCACAGTGACAGCACTTCTGCAGCGGGTGGCTCACTCACAACACTAAGCGCTGCACGCATAAGCAGAGCTATTCATATTGAAATGTAAAAACAGAGAGTCAGTTTCCACATGGATCCAGCGATCGTTCTGTTTTAATTAACAGGCCAGTGGCCGGCGGTCAGCGACGAGCCCATGGTGGACTCTTTGTGGTTTGGACTGTGGCTGTAGGTGGGAGAGTGGGTAACGCTTGGACTGCTGGGCGGTGTGGAAGAGCAGGAGGTAGACTTGGATTTTATCTGCTGCCACTTGTCCTGGCCCAAAGCTTTGGCGAAGTGGTCATCAACAGACACGCTGATGGAGAGCTGCTGCAAACGACTTTGCTGGTAGCTGGATCCAAGGCTTCTCTTGAAATGCTCCTCAAGTACGTGATCAAGGTTGTGTTTGGTATTAGCTGGAAGGAAGGATGCATGACAAATATTAGATGCACACCTTGTTGAGTCAGTATTTGTTAGTCTAAGAGTGCGGTTATCCACTGTGATGTAGTCAAGTGTGACGACTAGGGAGTGAACGTCTGGTAAGTGATCTGCTTACAAAGGAGTACTGACCTGATGAGTGGCTACTGTGGACCTCGGATCTGCTGGAAGGGCTTTTTGATGAGGGGACACAGGTGATCACAGAGGGACGCACCTTAAAGAGGAAAGACGAATGATCAGAATACATTTAGGATAGAAATGCACCAGTATTTTTGCTGTGACCCTATTAGAGTTTTAAACGTGTGTTCCTGTCATCTAAACGTGCTTAAACACCCTGTTTATCTAACAGCAACCACCATGCGAGCAGTTAGATTTGAAAATGTTTAAAAGTGATTGAACTGGTTGGGTTTGCTCAGGAAAGCAAGGTTCACTCCCAGTGTGATGGCATCAACATCTCAAAGCAGTCTGTTCGGTCTTGTTGATGGAATTCCTCCATTGCTTACATTTTCTTCCTGAATCCGGCTGGATTGCATAGCTCAGGCAAGCTTAGGCCTGTGTACGCTCACGGAAAGCCTGTGAGGTTAGATTCACTGACTAAAACGGCTGGAAATGTACAAGCCTCTGTGGTTAGCCTGGAGCTGCACTGGGACTACAAAAGGGCATCAAAAACCTGCCACATTTCCTAAATACAATCTTTATTTGATCATGATGGTTGCAGTACCTGAATTTGACTGGCAGGTGATATTTTAGTCTTCGCTGTGTTTTCTGGGTCTTTTCTTGGTTTCTTGATGAGGGCGAGAGGTTCGTCCATGGTAGGTGTGTAGTACACGTAGTTGGGCAAAGGACTAGTGGGGCTTGGTGTTGGACTCGGGCTCGCTGTGGGACTCTGTTGGCTGCTAGAAGCTGCAGGTGCTGGTCCGGGTCTCTGGGCCAGTTTGCTTCTGTTTATTGCCCGCTCTCGCCTAAAACAAGTACTCGGTCAGAGAATGTCTCATTCCTTTGAGAAAATCTGCATGCATGTGTTAAAAATCATATATAAATCTAAGAATAGGTGGTTTCACCAACCTTTCTTCCAATGTTAGACCTCTTTCAAGGCTGCGCTTGCGTTTGATTGGATATGCGTTGGGGGCTCGTGCCCGTTCATTCTGCATGTTTCTGAACCTGTCTTCACTCCGGGAATGGGGTTGACCTTTAAAAGAGACCAAAGGGTAGAATCAGAATAACAGAAATCAGTGAGAAACTCGTCCCGTGGGATTTGATGATGATGATGGTTTTATTCACAAAAATTGGTAACTGTCATTGATGACTAATAGCTTGTTGTGATCCATGACATCAACCTGTATGGCCACTATTCGTGGGAAAGCGTTTTTTTTTTGTTTTGTCACCGTTAATTGTAAACTCCGTTAAGCTGTAGAACCCGATCTACTTGATCAGTTGGGGTTACGACACGACACAGCTGATTCAGTGCTAACGGTAAATGTTGTTTTTCAGCAACATGTTGGCGCTCGGCCCAATCACACGCTCACAAAAGGCAAAGGTAGCAGTCAACAGCTATTGTTAGAATACATACGAATACATCTGCATGACTTGGAAGACTAATGGTATGGGCAGAACACACACAAGCACACAAGCGCATGCAAACACACACATATTCTAAATGATTGCAAACACACACATCTGCAAGAAGAGCATGCTGTAAACAATGGATTGGACCACTGGGGTACATCTATACTGGGTTTATTTGATCTCAGTCACCTCTTTCATTGGTTTCCAAGTTTAAATCAGGATATTTCAATAAATCAGTGTGCAGTCAGTCACCAGCTTGCTCTTCATGCATTGTAAATGTGAACACACCATGGACTTTTGCTTGGCTTTCATGCTCACTTTACATTTTGAAATCCACATTTACTGGATGGAGAGAGGATTTGTTTGTATTCAGACAGCTAGACCTTCTCCAGCCTCACTGAGCCTCCCGCATGTAGCACTTCAGTTTGCATTCCCTCTTGCATAAACACAGCAACACCTGCGTGCTGCTCCTTCTCACAGTGTGCCATTGTGGAGGGGGCAGGTATAACCACACCTATGCTGATTTTCTAATGCCTCGGGCATGGATATTTCTTCCTCATTAGCTTTGAGAATGTGCTGCATGACCTTATGCTTTGTTGAGCTGAATCAGATTTTACTGACATGTAAAAAAGTGACAAATTGTTTAAAGAATGTCAGCTGAGAGGGAACGCTCAAAGAATCAACAGTAAACTCTTTATGTTTTATGTTAAAAGAGGTGGGGTGTTTACCTATAAAACACTGAAAAACCTTTATATTTTACAAGGCTCAGCTTGTTATTTATCCCCTGTTTGTTTGATTGCTACAACTAATTCCTCCTTCCTCTAAATGGATTTGATTGAAATACGAGGTAAACACAAATGTAATAAAACAGATACAAACTTTGACATATTATTAGATGAAAACATGAAAATGTATCACTAGAAGGTTATAGCATAGCTATGAATATGATTAATTTTCAGTATAATCGGTCATTTAACAACCCAAGGAAATAAAAACAAAGCCTTACTAAGCTTACCTTCTAATATGTAGACCTTGAAGCCACTGTTTATCCGAGTAATGTACTGGAAATTAGCCACTGCCATGACTTCTTGACTCTTGCGTTGGTCAAACAACTTTGCTTCTGGAGATCACAGCACACCACAAGCCTCAGCTGTGGATTGTATAGGAAAGGTAATGAGATGTTGGGTCTGAGCTCAGGCAGGTAAAGTATCCAAGTGAGTTCAGATAGGCTCAGTCGGTGACTTCCTTGTGACTCATCATCTGCTGCAGTTAGATTGGCTGCTGCCTGGGCCAATGGCGAGGCGTCAGCCCATTCACTTGGTTGTTATTGTGTTTTAAGGCGGAATGTTCTCACAGGTAGACCTGTTTGAAAAGTGGAAAGTTGAGTTGTTAAATGTCATGGTGCTGTGGAGTTCGCGCCTCTTAGGGAGAAGCATTTTTTTCACAATTGTAAGAATTAGTTTTGAAGATCATCCAATGACATAAAACACTTTCTTCAATCTTTCTTTTCTTTGTCAGATGTGAGACTTCCTTTAGAGTCCTGTGGGGGTCGTGTGTCCTTTGTTTCCCCCCATGAACTCGGCACCTGCTCCCCCCCAACTCCACCCCCCGTCTCCACCCCTGATCTGAAATCTCACCAAACTGCATTTTTCTGAGTGTTTAGCCCACCGAGGCTCTCGTCCTCCCACTGGCCTGCCCATACACGCTTGCAGCTGTACTCTGAGCCCGCCTCACCACTAATCCAAAGGCTTTTGTTAATGGCCGGACAAAGGCTTCCAAGTCCTGGAAATGCTGCTGCCATGAGAACAATCTCATCAGAGAGTACAGACACGTTTGGCCATGCTGTGATGTTGGTTGTGCAGGAACAAAGGAACTTTTAGTGTGAGTGATGTACTTGGAGAGGCGATAGTTATGATCATGTTGATCCGCCCCATCAGCCAAATATCCCTACAGGTGAATTTCATCCCAGCTGCATTTAAGAGGTTTAAGATGAAACATTTCCTTCACAGTGAGGTTTAATTTAAGCTCAACAGTGCCCCCTTAAGTCCTAAATGCATATAAAAGTTAAACAATGTTTCTCTTAGCAGCTTTTTTAATATTAAAAGGAGCTGTTTTTTGTGTATTTTTATTCTCATTTATTGTAGTTGTTGTATGTTTTAGAGAGCGAACACCTACTGAAGCTAAATTCCTTGTAAATGTAATTTTTCTTGGCCAATAAATCTGAAATCTGAAAAAATCTATCAAGCGGCAGAAAAGTAGAGTTTTTATCACCTCACATGTTTAGATGCAGGTTTGGTCAGTGACAAATTCCATGCAGTTTTGCCATTTTAGAAATGCAAAAAATTTGGTTTTGAAATGTGAAGAATCTTTGAGTAGCCAGTCAAGTTCTAATTTTGAAACGCTCGTCCTTTTGTATTCAGATCGCATAACTAAGACACAAGGCTTCTGTTGGAGGAGGTCATCCATCATCCAGATATCTAATGTTTAAAAACGTTTTTTATGACATCAAGACACGCTTCATTAGAGCAAAATGTCGTCTGATTCACAAATGTTCCATGTTGCTCCCCTTTGTGTTTTAAATGAAATCAAAAACAACTTAAAGGTCTAGCAGATACCTGACATATAATATGGATTTCTCACATAGCGTTCCCATGAAGCATCAGCAGCTAGACACCAACGTCATCTGTGTTTTCAACACATCTAGGGAAATATTTTAAAAGGACTGAACCCGAACTGAATGGGTGAAACACTTTAAATATGCTTTGACTTGAAATTAAATTACTTTACTATATAGAAGCTGCATTCATTGTAATTATCACATTTTAATATGATATGTTATCTGATCCAGCAATCAGTAACTAGGCAACAAGATTAGTTCTGTTTTATTCCTTAATGAAAATAAATCTAATTTGCAATCCCACATGAACCAATTTAGATGACGTGCTGTAAATGCTCCAGGCTCACACTGGACACATGTGTTTTTACATGTTAATGCAACATGTGGATGTTCCCCTGAACAGTGTCTCTTTATGGTGGACTCTGCTCACCATGTGTTTTACCACATATTATAAGCCTGACACTTTACACTGAAGGGTGTGTTGGCCTTCTTTGGCTACCTGAAGGCTCACTCACTGGTGCTCTACTTATTGTCATTTGTTACCGTCATCAGCCAACACACCCACAAACCTGACGACAGGAAATCATGAACATGAGCAACTTATTTTCCAGGAGAATGACCGTGAATAATTTTTACGCGCAATCATTGTCATATCAGTGTGTTTACATTTACCTGTACTGCTATCGTTGTGTTAATTGCTTTGCTGATTTTGTGTCATCTCTCCACAGGGATGCGTTCACATCCTCCATCTCTACTCACAGACGATTGCTCTGAGAGATCCTATAGCGATCATAATGTGAAGTCCCTCGATGACACTGCTGTTGTTGGGCTGATCTCCAAACATGAGTCTATTGGAGTGAGGTATGACTGTGTAACATCCAGAAAGGGTCCATTTTGACCTATATATTGACCGACATAGTGACCAGTCACCTACAGACATAATTCCACCATGTAGGTAGATGTTCTATTCTATCTTCTAACACCCAGAAGATTCTGCAGTGCATGTTGACAGTCCAAGAACACAAAATTGTCAAACTTATCTCAGACTGCTGGATTTCACACTCTGAATGAAAAGTGAACTTTTAAAACTCATAAGTTAAATAATCAGTTGTAATCATATGGTTGAATGAACCAGATGGTATTTGAAATATTTGAATAATCTGTGCCTAATTAACTGAATTAGGCACAGATTATTCAAACACTAGTAGATGGATCAGTTCTAAAAACTGACCAGCTGCCTCCCTAGAGGACATCGACACCGACCAGCCGCCAAAATAGTGTAAAGAACATAATCCAACACATCCAGCCCATGTTCACCTGTTTCATTCAGCGAAGATTGTGAAGCTTCTTCTTTGAGGTTTTAAGGCTCCTAAACTCTGACCTTTCTGTTGTCCTCTTTATTAAGTTCACTTTATAATATGTAGATGTTTATTAATAACTGTTATATTATTATGAGCTGGCCAGAGTAATAAATGATACTCTGTTGTGTTTTATGAACATGCACTTGACCATTAATACACCTGCATTTTTAATGGTAATTTTCTTCTTTTGACATTTGTCTTTGTGCACATAGTTCTTTGCAGCCGTTCATAGAACTTGATTTAAAGCTTGTAAAGAAAGACGCTTTCTAAAGATATCATTTAGAGTATTTGTTTTGTCGGAAAATCTCCATCAACATGCTAAACATGTACTTTTGTTTTTATGGCAGCAAAAAAGGGTGTTGGTTCCTCCAGAGCATTAAAGACTCATGAGAGAAAACAGCCCTGTCTGTTTCCAATACGAACACAGTCGGTTTCCATAGTGGAGCTGGAGCATGCAGGACTCCCAGGGGACCTGCGTTGTAATGACGCAGAGCATCACCAACAGATGGCGCTTCTCTCAGAATATCTGTCAGCTGTGTTGGAAATTTAAGGCGTCCCCATTCAAGGTCCGAGTATAAGAACAGTAAATGCAGGGATAACTGGAACACCCTGGTGCATCCTGAGGAGTCAGCAGCAGCATCAGGCTGAGCGACGCCCCTGCCACTCCTCTCTCCTCAGCACCACCATCACCACACATTCACGTCAAGTCTGGCAAACCTAGCCATGACACAGGAAGTCATCGTAGGTTCTTTTAAAAGAAGACCAAATAACCTGTGCGCTTCACATTGTTTTATGCTTGGGGAAGTCAGACATGTTCCTGAAGATGTTGATGTTCAGAGAATACAGTTTTAACCAGAAATAAATGAAGTGTCTCCACAGGAATGCTCATTCACTACGCAGGGGAGAATCCACCCACATCTCAGTCTGAGATGGTGGCATTTGGTTTTGATTAGGAATATGTAATCTTCATCACATGTGTTACTGGCCTTATATCTTTAACATTCAGAAATACTAAATGAATATAATCAAAAACAAGCAAATATGTCTGTATTAAACACTTCAGTTGTTGCAGTTTTACGTTCTGCCTCCAAAAATCAAAGATGCATCCCAGATTTAGATGTTCACTCCTGCAGACTTGTGTTGTTCTTACCCTGCTGTTGGTTCAAATGTATATTTTTCCTCTTACATTTATTTGTATCGAACTGAAGAGTTGGCACACCCTCTATAATTCAAAATTAGACAAATGCATTTATTTTGTAAAGCAGTACCGGAAGTGATCGTTCTGCACACTGAGCAACTTGACCACCGTCTAGTTTGCAGTCTCCCCCCAGGATGACTAGAGAGTGACGCAGGGCAGACGGAAAAAAACTGGGTCTGAGAAGGAAGCAGGACGGTGGAGATGACTGGGAAGACTTTGGTTTGATTTATTTCACAGGATTAAGGTCGATGCACGAGCTGTCTGCACGCTCGGAGAACGCGAGAGCCACATGCATGCGGGGTTTCCTGTAACAGCTGATCAGGAGCCATCGCCTCATCCCTGGCGGATCGTTTTGGATACATTCCCAGGTAGGCTCTGTCAAATGGATACTATTCCATATAAGTGCATTAAGGCTTTTTCTAAACGAACCACATCCATCTGAGAAGGAATATTTTAATTTAGGTTAGCAATTATCTGGATGCTGATTATCTTTCATAGCAGTCACGATTTCTTCCTGCCGTGAGCAGGCATACATAAAAATAATGATCTAATTAGTAAACCCAGACTTTGTTCTGTTTAGGTGACGCTGATTCTGCACATGGGAAAGTAGCCAGACATCCTTTTTATTTCTTCACTGAACACAAGCAGGGTATTTAGACACCCCCCTCTGTGATTTCATCCCATCTCCATCATGAATTACCTGCGTCGACGGCTTTCGGACAGTAATTTCATGTCCAACCTGCCCAATGGATACATGACCGACCTCCAGCGGCCTGAGCCGCCGCAGCAAAGTCCCGCAGTGTCACCCGGCCCGGCGGAGCGTCGCCAGCCCCCCGGCGGCCCGCAGCAGCAGCAGCAGCCGCAGCAGCAGGCTGCCCCTGCAGCAGGCTCCGGTTTCTTCTCCTCCTTATCCAACGCTGTCAAACAGACTACAGCTGCTGCAGCCGCAACCCTGTCTGAGGCCGCGGATAGAGCAGGTGTGTCCAGCAACGCCAAGATCCTCCTGGTCATCGATGACCAGCAGACCGACTGGTAAGATCAGTGCTGGTGGCAGCAGCAGCTTTAAGGTCATATGATTCAGAGGATGCTGAGGTACACCACGGAAAACCGCCCCTTTTATGAATCACAAACACCTTATGTGTTCTCAAGGCAAAGGCAGCAAAAAGAAATGCTTTTTTTTTTTGTCGTGATGAAATAAAAATGTTAGGCTGTTTGAATTTGCTAACATTCTAAAAAAATTATAAACTTTCTGCGGGGAAATCTTGCAGGATTTTCATTGGAACACAATGTGCATTGTTAGATTTGCACTTATCAGAGGTGATACAAAGCTGTGGTTTTGTTACTAAAGACACTCTATGTGTAAAAGCACACATTCATTATCCCGTTTAAATTCCACTTTTACACCAGATGATGCTGCACTACTCATCATGCAGCATTGACTAGATTTTAGTCCAGTAATGCACTTTTCAACAAAAACCTTTGTTTCATATTTTTTATGATTACTACCAACATTTGCATTCATTTACTCACTTTTGCAGGGTGAAGGTTTTCAGAGGAAAAAAGGTCCATGGTGAATTTGACATTAAAGTAGAGCAGGTAAGTTTGAATAAGCTATTAATTTTCTCTGAGATTATGTTCATCCTAAGAGAAGAACAGGAAATGAGCTGAAATAAGAGTCTGAACTGAGTCTCATGAGATGATGTTGCATGATTTTTTCATAAGGCCTTGGTATTTTGTGTGTCGCTGATAACAGTCTTTCTGATCTACTTATGTCAAAACAGAAATAGACCTCGAGCATTTTATTCCTGTCAGAAAGAAACTGCATGGCATTATTAATGAGCGTGTTATAATTTACACTGAAAGCAGAAGCTTTGTTCAGAGGAAGTGTTTGGAATGATACATCTCTCAGAAGTGCTTCCCTGTGAAACACCATTTAATTTAGTTATTAAATATCTTATGCTTGATGCATTATTTTGTGCAGTCCCATAACACAGCCTAACGAGATCTGTTTTTATGCTAAGTTTATTACTTGGACCAATTATGGATACAGGTTTTAGACAGCAGTATTATGATGGAGACAAGGGGTGCAATGATTTCCATATATTCTTGTCCTTCTCAGACATTTTTTTCTTTTCATCTAACTGGTAGAAAGCACAATAAAGACAGTCTGCTGTCGTTTAGCAAAATACATAATTTTGCACTGGAGGAATAATAATGAAACCCAGGAAAAATCAGTGGATGTTCTTCAACACATTTTGAATCAACTCAAATCAAGATGGCCGCCATAGTCAACTGATTGTTAAAGCATAAACAGCGTTATAACTCAGGCACTTTTTAAACACTTTTTGTCAGCGTTTATTGTGATAGTATATCTCCACAACATAGCCCGTAACCCCGATGAACGATGACCCCAGACTCTGGAACTCTCTCCATCTGAGCCTGAGATCAGAGGACTCAGTGGTCTCCTTTAAAAAGCAGCTGAAAACTCACCTGTTCAGGCTGGCTTTTGCGTGACCTTCATCACCACCCTCTCCTTATTTTGCTCTTATTTTGCCTTTCTCGAGATCCACAGATTACCCTCTTTCCTATTCATTTTCTCTTCCCCTTTTCCTTATGTTTTAAATCACAATTTTTATTTCTTCTCATTTGAAACACATTCTTAATCATTTTTTTAAATCATTTTTTTGTATTCATTTTTTGTTTTTGTTCTTGTGAAGCACCTTGTGATTTTTATCTAAGGAGGCGCTATATAATATATCACTTTCTTTCTTTCTTTCTTTCTTTCTTTCTTTCTTTCTTTCTTTCTTTCTTTCTTTCTTTCTTTCTTTCTTTCTTTCTTTCTTTCTTTCTTTACTACTCAAAATAAGATCATGGTCTAAAACATTTGACATGAATTATTGTATTTAACCCATTTTTAAAGTTTTGTTTGTAAACAAAATATTTAATGAGCCACGGATGGATCTTAATAAAATTCTCAGAATGTAATCAACTGATGTTTATCTCCAACTTTTGGAGTCTACCTGATTCAAGATGGCCGAACTTTAGCAGTTACTTTTATGCATCACTTTAACAGACATTGTGCTACGGTTTGAGAGTTGTTGAGAGACCTTTTACATCTACTTTAAGTTATACCTCATGACTGTATAAAAAAGATGGACAAAGCCCACAGACTGCTTTCTGTGTGACTCTTATGAAGCCAAATGGCCGTGCCACACATATCGTCACGCTTTATAGGCAGCTAGGACAACTACAGCCTTGCATGAGTGTCGGGCAAAGCTGGGCGGCCACGCGACATGGCTGCCTTCGAGAGGATGGAGCGGCACATTTTTGGATCTCTGAGTGGCAGTCTTGCAGATCCTTGACTGAGGTGGACTAGCACAGCTCGGAAACCACTGCTAGCCACAACCAGGTCACCTAACTCGAGTTTTGGTACCCCGCCAGCCCCACCAACATGTCATATTTCTAGTGCCAGCCCCTAGCGGATGAGGGTGGAACTGCAAAGTTTGTGACTTCTGTGTTGACTTCAAGTCTGGGGTTGGTGGGTTACCCCTTGGTTCTAACAGAATGTGGGATTTAATTTCTCAACATAATAAGATCTTAGTTTCAAACCCTGTCAAAGAAATATGGTATGCATGCCTTTAGTTGATAATAAATATTGACCGAGGTATTCTCCTTTCAGGCAGAGTTCTCCGAAATCAACCTGGTGGCCAACTCTACAGGCACCTACCATGTGAACATTGATGCCATAAGGAGTGGGCATAAGGTCAACAAGTGAGTAGGTTTCTGTTATGAATTAATACAATGCTGCAGTTTATGAAGCTGCTGAAAGTTCCACTGCACCTGCAAAATCATTGAACCATGACCGAAGAGTTCTTCTAACTATGCAGTTTAATGTTTTGCTTGTGTCTTCTGCATCAGATCCTTCAGGCCAGACTTTGTTCTGATGAGACAGCACGCTTTCAGCATGGACAAGAACGGAGACCATCGGAACATGGTGATCGGACTTCAATATGCCGGGGTGCCGAGTGTTAACTCTCTGCAATCGGTTTATAACTTCTGTGACAAACCTTGGGTGGTGAGTAGTATTAACCACTCAAAGCAAGGACAAAGGAACAGTTAGTGGCATCTTAGAGGCTAACCTCTGCCTGATTATCTGCTTCAGTTTGCTCAGATGTCTAGAGTCCACAAGCAGCTGGGATCAGAGGAGTTCCCACTGATCGAACAGGTTTACTATCCAAACCACAAGGAAATGGTGAGCTCTTTGCAGTCTAATTATTGAACTTCTGTGTCAGTACAGTTAGATCATCTCCATTCCTGCAGTCACACACTGTTTTGTAGTGTTTTAATCATTAGAATGATCTCCAACAACATGTTTACTGTATGTTTTAATATCTTCCTCACAGATTTCCTCCCCTCAGTTTCCTGTTGTTGTAAAAATGGGCCATGCTCACTCAGGAATGGGAAAGGTACAAATTGGTTGTTCATATTTCTAATAATTTAAAGCTGCTATAGCGAAACTACAGAATGAGTTAGGTTTTGACCACAAACATGGAACACTCACCCCACCCCTCAGGTATCTTTCCAGAGATGTTTCTGCCAGAACTGGAAACCCGCGATGCCGGAGGACACTAGATAATGCGAAACACAAGTCGTCGTTTTGTAGGTCCAAACGTTTTTTGTTGTCCGTGACTTCAAATGGTGTTTTTCTTTTTGGGACTCTGGTAGTTTGTCCTAAAGTTGAGGTGGCCAGCTGTTTCTCCTCCTCTGATATTACTGAGCAGAGAACCACTCACACCAGTAGTGTTTTGTTGCTAAATATGCACGAGTGTAATGAATGGAGGATGCAGGGAAGTGCGGAGGTTCTGCGAGATTAACAACCAAATGGTCCAATGGTTGCTCTCAGTCTGAAACGTGTTATTGGTTGACCTTTTTAGATAAATGCAAAAGAACCAGTTTTGGACTTTTTATTTTTTATTTTTTATTCGCCACTTTATGTTTACATCTATACTAAGTTAGAACGTTGTTAAGAGCTAATTTGTTCTCCTAATTTGCTTTTGCAGCTTTAAATAAAATCACCACATTAATACACTTAGAAATTCCACTGGATGCATTTGGGCTCCTTCCACTCTAGGTGAAAGTGGACAATCAATATGACTTCCAAGACATTGCTAGCGTTGTGGCGCTGACCAAGACCTATGCCACATCTGAGCCATTTATTGATGCCAAGTACGACGTCCGCATCCAGAAGATTGGTAACAATTACAAGGCTTACATGTGAGTGATTTTGTTCCACCAAATCTCCAACAAAGACCCAACTCACAGGCAGTTTGTGGCAAATAAAACAAAACATATGATGCAGTTTCTCGTTTTGTTCAACAGGAGGACTTCTATTTCTGGCAACTGGAAAACTAACACCGGCTCGTCCATGCTGGAGCAGGTGGCAATGTCAGACAAGTAAGCATATACGATGATACCCTCATAAACTGTTAGTAATGTGATGTTTAACTGTGCTATAATATCATTGTAGGTACAAACTGTGGGTGGATGCATGTGCAGACATCTTTGGGGGGTTGGATATCTGTGCTGTGGAGGCGCTACATGGTAAAGATGGCAGAGACTACATTATAGAGGTAAAAGAGAGGAGCATCATCTGAAAATGTGATCATGAAGGAAATACACAAATAACATCCTGATGCGTTTCAGGTTGATGACTGTTCGATGCCACTGATTGGGGATCAGCAGGAGGAGGATCGTGTTCAGATTGCAGAACTTGTGATTTCTAAGATGAACCAGACTGTTCCACGTACCTTGAGCTCCTCAACGGTCCGTGCCTCAGCAGGACAGCCAGCACAGGTGCTGAAGCTGCTAAAACTGCACTAAAGCTTTGCTGACTCCAGTAAACCCCAGACAAACAGCTCTAAGCATTGAGATTATCTCATTCAGAGCCATCCATACATACATTTTCAGCTGCTTATCTGGGGTCGGGTCGTGGTGGCAGTAGCCTAAGCAGGGAGGTTAGGGGTTAGGGGTGTTCCCTGGGTCGTCTTTTACGCCTTCTCCTCATTAGATGTGCCTGGAAAACCTCACAAGGAGGCGTTCATAAGGCATCCTAACTAGATGCTCAAGCCACCTCAACTGACTCTTCTCGATGTGGAGGAGCAGCGGGTCTACTCTGAGCCCCTCCCAGATGACTGAATTTCTCACCCTATCTCTAAAGGGAGAGCCCAGCCACCCTGCAGAGAAAACTCCATCTGTCCCTCACTCGTGAACAAGACCCAGAGATACTTAACTCTGGGTCGGTAACAAGATGGCACCTGTGCTTGGCTTAGCCGCGGTCACCGGCCACTTTTTAAACTTTTCTCCACTAACCTCCCCTTTTCGACTTTGCTCCTGTCTGCGATCCTCTTCAGTAGTGTCCCTGCTACCATCTCCTATGATCGCCAGACTATTTTGTCCTTCCGTTCATTCACGATCGCCCAAGATTCACCAAGGACGTACCTCCATGTTTGTTTAACTGATCGGCGTGCTGGCCCGGAGCCTAATGATTCCTACCAGGAAGCCTCCAGCAATGTTTATCCGGTCCCGGGAAAACGTCGGAGGAAAAGAGGTAAATGAGCAGGAATCCAGGTGAGAACAAGACTTCTCTTAATGCGTGGTTTATCTATCGACGTGATCTTCTAGCTTCTTGTCCTTTGTTTGGTGACCTGAGCGCCACTTCCGCATTCCCGCCAGGCCGCGTTGCGGTGCGGTTTCTCCGTCCAAGTTTTTTAAGGTCGGGTTATCCTCATTCCTCAGTGGCTTCTCCTCCTGTTCCCTCCATAAGTGGTTTTTATAAACACCGTGGATCTAACCCTGCTAATTTACGTCCACTAACTCCAGCTGTTTCTGTAGTTTCTGATTCCTCCACCTCACTCAGCATGGCTCTATTAAATACCCACTCTGTTAACAATAAGTCCTTCCTGCTCAATGATTTAATTCGCTCTAAAAACCTGGATTTTCTGTTTCTGACTGAAGTTTGGCAGCAAAAATCTGATTATTCTGGTCTGACTGAACTCTGCCCGAGTGGTTATTCATTCTTTAGCCAGCCCCGGGGTTCTGGTCGTGGGGGAGGCCTAACTGTTGTTTTCAGAGACCATCTTCCATGTAGCTCTACAACCTCTGGTCACTTTGCTTCTTTTGAACTGCAGCTGATTAAAGTCAGGCGTAAGAACCCGTTCTACTGTGCTGTGGTCTATCGTCTACCTGGTCCAAACAGTTCCTTCCTTCAGGAGTTTAGTGACTTTCTATCCTCCACTGTGAAGCTGTCCAGACTGGTGACTGTTGGTGACTTTAACATCCACGTTGATGATCCCTCTGATCTCTTTGCTGTGAATTTCTCCAGCCTTATGGACTCCTTCAGCTTTACCCAGCATGTTTCTGGCCCCACACACACCAGGGGGCACACTCTAGACCTTGTTTTGACCCTGGGTCTAAATGCTGACAGTGTTTGTCCTGAGGACGTTTATATTTCAGATCACCATTGCATTTTCTTTAACTTGTCAGTTTCTGCGTCCCCACCTCCTGCTCGCCGTCTGGTTAGTTCTCGTTTTCTTAATGAGAGCACAGCTAGCAATTTTTCTGCTGCTTTTGATCCACCCTGTTCTTCTGATAACGACCCAGATTCCTTAACTTCTCAGTTTAACGAGCACTGCCTCTCCATTCTGGACAACATCTGTCCTGTCAGAACCAGATCAGTTCCTGCAGTGAACCCTACTCCCTGGTTTAATGACAGCCTTCGCAGCCTGAAGCGCCAATGCAGAAGAATTGAGCGCTTGTGGAAGAAAACCCATCTCCATGTCCATCTGCTGCACCTAAAGGATCTTCTGACATCCTTTAACTCTGCAGTCAGAAATGCAAGGGTTTCCTATTTCTCCAACCTGGTGTCCCAGAGCAAAGGGAACCCCAAGGTGCTGTTTAACACCATCAGCAGCATCGTCTCTCCTGCCTCTCCTACAGCCTCCATCCACTCTATTGCAGACTGTGAGAACTTTCTGTCTTTTTTTGTGGACAAAGTCAATAAGGTTAGATCCAGCATCTCTCCTTCAGCCTTATCGCTGCCTCTGCCGACTCCAACCAGGCCCATCATCCTAGATTGCTTTGCTCCTGTTTCTTTGCCTGAGTTAACCAAACTAGTTAACTCTATGAAGACCTCTGCATGCCCCCTCGACATCTTACCCTCATCTTTGTTTAAAAGTGCTTTTCTGTCCATCGGTCCCAGCGTGCTCTCCATTATTAATACTTTTCTGGTTTCTGGCCAGGTCCCTGCTTACTTTAAGAATGCTTTAATCCACCCGCTTCTTTAAAAAAACGAGTCTTGACCCCTGTCTCCATAGCAGCTTCAGACCCATCTCTAAACTTCCGTTCATCTCCAAGATCTTGGAAAAGGTTGTGACTAATCAACTCACAGCTGCTCTTGATGAACATAACATCTATGATAGCTTCCAGTCAGGTTTTTGTAGAGCTCATTTTACTGAAACAGCTCTTCTTAGGGTCTCTAATGACCTTCTGACTCACAGTGATGCAGGGGACTGTTCTGTTTTGGTCCTGCTGGACCTGACTGCAGCCTTTGACACTGTTGACCATCAACTGCTACTGGAGAGGCTGAGAGACTGGGTAGGCCTATCAGGAACTGCTCTGGAGTGATTCTCTTCTAATCTTTCTGAGCATTCCTTTTCTGTGGCCGTCTCCAAGTTTAGGTCCTCCACCACCTCCCTTTCCCATGGTGTCCCACAAGGTTCTGTGCTGGGGCCTCTGCTCTTCCTCCTCTATCTGCTCCCTCTTCAGCACATCCTGAGCTCCTTCAAAGGAATCTCCTACTATCTTTATGCAGATGACATCCAACTGTACATCTCCTTGAAGCCCCAAGAGATGTCTAAGCTGCAGCTGTTACACTCCTGCTTTGACTGTATCAGGTCCAGTGATCAAAGCCTACTGGTTGTGCAGCACCAGGCTAAAGACCAAAGGTGACAGGTCATTTGCTGCTGTGGCCCCCAGACTCTGGAACTCTCTCTCCCTGAGCCTGAGATCAGTGGACTCCTTCAAAAAGCAGCTGAAGACTCACTTGTTCAAGCTGGCTTTTGTATGACCTTCTTCACCACTTTCTTTATTCTGCTCTCCCCACCTATTCCACCTTCCTCAGGATCCACTGATTTCCCTCTTTCCTATTCACTCTCTCTCTTTCTTAACATTTTTTAATCACAATTGTCTGTTTTTGCTCATTTTAAATATATTTGTAACCATTTTCTAAATTCTTTTTTTATTTTTATATTTTGTGTTTTTGTGAAGCGCCTCGTGGTTTTTGTCTTGAGAGTTGCAATAGAAAAGATCTTTTCATCATCATCATCATCTTCTTCTTCTTCTTCTTCTTCTTCTTCTTCTTCTTCTTCTTCTTCTTCTTCTTCTCCTCCTCCACTTGAGGCAGGACCTCACTCCTGACCCAGAGAAGGCATTCTACTCATTTCTGACTCAAGACCATGGTCTCCTTCACAGCCTCATTCTTTAAAATGAGCAGCAGAGAGGGGTGACTCGTTTGGTTATCAAAGGGAATCTGGTTATAAATAAGTTTTCCACTTTGTTTGTGGCCTTTGTAAACATTTTACAAATTATTTCAGAGTTTTGCTTGTTGTCATTAGTCATTTAAGCCTAATCCTAATGTGACCTCATAATAATTTGTTTTAGATTATTTCTATCTGCACACTTTTCACCAGATGTGATTTCCTTTGACAGGTGTTCTAAATAACGTTTGTGATGTATTTGTCTGTTTTGTAGAGAGCGGTTTCTCCTCAGCCAGTCTCACAGCCCAAAGTACCACAGGCCCAACAGCGTCCCTCTCCTCAGGGTAAGACTTGGACTGTTTTAGGATGATGTCCAGAAATATTTTGTGTTTTTTCAGGAAAATCTGAACCATAAAATTGCAAAAGTATTTGTATATGTATATGGAAATTATTCAATGTGATTTGGACCTTATTATAACTCACAGGAGGTCCTCAGCAAAGCCCCCCAACTCAGCAGCGTCCACAGCCTCAAGGCCAACCTCCTTTACAGGCCCAGCAGTCCCCTGTCAGTCCTGGTATGGGTGAACCCTCCTCGCAGGCTAAAGCTAGCCAAGGACCTTCAGCCCAATCAAGACCTCCAGGTCAGGGTGCTCCACAGCGAGGCCAAGGAGGTTCCCCTCAAACTCAGAGGCAACAATCTTTATCACAACAGAAACCTTCTGCAGGGGGCCCAAGCCAGAAACCTTCAGGTGGGCAAGCGCAACAACAAAGACCTGCCCAGCTTTCTAAACAGCAGTCACAGGGAGGATCACAGCAGCAGAAGGCACCAGGGCGTCCCGGAGCACCAACCACCCAGCAGCCCAGACCTTCTGCCCAAGGCCAGGGTGGTCCAGGAGAACGTCCCCCTCTCCACCAAAAGCCCCAGCCACCTCAGAAGCCCAGTCAGGATAGTCCAGCTATGAGCGGCTCTCCACAACTAAAGTAAGTATTTGCACGTGATAAACGAAGATCAGCTTCATCACATTTGGGTAAAAATTAGAGCTGACACAAACAAAAATGCTTCTCTTACCTTTCTGCCTGCAGTGATTCTGTAAATGCATGCCACATGAGTGATTGGCCTCTTTATTGACAAATGATCCACCTGAATGTGCATGGTATCCAACATTTGTCAATCTTTCATTGGTAGTTTCACCAAAAATAACATTTCAGATTGTCTGGAGGGATTGTGATACACTCACACAACCAAAAGAAGCTTCCAGTTCAGGTTCTGGGATGCAGGAGACCAAGTTATAAGCAGTCAACTTAAAGATTTTTACCATGTCATATTGATATTTCCACATTAAATAAAAACCCAAACACATTTTGGCTGCATGTATGCATTTTCGTATTTCAGCAGCAAATTTAGTTTTACTTTGAAAATCCTGTAAAGCGTCAAAGGAAAATAGTCTCGTCATCAGGCTCTGCTCTGCTCTCAGAAGCTAGTCTCTGGTCTGAAACCTGTCTTCCCTGGCCAGCACAAGATATGTGGCTTTGGCGACTGTCATGTAGCAAACTTGGTAGTCCAGTGGTTAGAGTGCACAACAAAACGCCTCAACTACTGGACCACCATAGCTAATACAGCTACTGACTTGCCTAAGATGCTGTTGTTGGCACATATTGTCAGAGCAGGCATGGGCATAGTCTCACTGAAATTAACCGTTTTATTTCTGGATATAAATTCAAGCTGATGAAAATGACTCATATTTAAGATAAATAGCATCTCAATTACGTATATTTGACCATATACTGTGCCTACGTTTACTCTCAAAGGTTTAAAATAGCATGGTACCTTTGACCTTTCAAATACATGAATAGAAAAGGAAAGCTGTCCATATATTTACTAAAAGGTAGCTGTATTCTATTGATAACTGTTACATGTCTGCTTGCATAAGAATGTGACAAATCAATCTATAGTCTGGATTCTCACATTTATATGGCTTTTGTAAATCTATTTTTACATGCAGAATTAATTAATTATGAAACACCACAATATCCTTTTTGAACAAAGTAAAAGAGGTGTTCAGAATTGCAAATGTCAATATAATTAGTTTACAATAGAAAAAAATGCCCTATAGCTTTAGGCTTGGGTAAAACCAGCTTTATGATTGACATTTGACATTCAGATGGAGTTTGCTGAGCCTTTTCTCATCTGTAAAACACATTAGTGATAGTATCATGGTTTGGGTCCACTGCGCTGCATTATTGTAAAATACTGTCATCACCAATCCCAGACAAAACACGCATCACCCGGTAAAGTCATTCACTATTCATATCAGATCAAAGTGGACTTGAAATGATAAGGTAATTCTGAATGACCCAGAGAGGGGATGGCCCTTTATTATCTTCTACTGAGACTTTTCACCACTTTTTTACCTCTCTCTGTCTTGCTGTATTCCATTCTTTTCACTCCATTGGTTTGCTGCATGACTTTAATAGCCTTTCCTTCTCCTCTATTGCCATCTCCTTTTCCTTATAGCAAATCCCAGTCTCTTACCAATACCTTCAACATTCCAGAAACCCCAGCGCCACGAGCCAGCCTTAGCCAGGATGAGGTGAAGGCTGAAACCATTCGCAATCTACGCAAATCTTTTGCCAGTCTCTTCTCAGACTGAGATGGCACAAGATCCTCCCATCCTCCCCCATTTCCTCCTCCCGCAGAGAAAAACATGGACAGGCAAACTGAAGGACCGACCCCTTCTTTACCCCCTCAACGAGCAAGGACCAACAGTTAATGAGATTGATAAGAAAGTGTACACTCTTGACATCCACTGCCCAAACCTATCGGAGTAAACAAATACAATCAGGATAGGATGTTTGAAACATTACTAGCCTCAAAGCCTAAATGAATCATGCACTGAAACTCTTCAACAACACGTGTGCATTCAACACCAATACATTAAATTAGGAAAAAATACTGCTCCCTCTTTGTTGGTGCTGTAAATTCATTGCGGATTTTATGGTAAAAATGAAAGGACTGCACAAAAAGTATTGAGACTGGGGGTTAATGACCCGATTTAATGCTTTAGTTCGGGAATTTCAATGCAACAACATGTTGTTGATATAACTATCCCTCAAGTGATCATCTCTTCTCTACAATTAGAATTTTAAGCAGAAATTTAAATGACTTTTCATCCAAAATCAAAAATGTAATACATCTCCTTTTGATCCCCTCTCAGTAGTTTTTGTACAGTCCACCTTGCGTCCCAGTGTTAGCAAACCCTAGATATGTTGAAGCTGCTTGCCTTGATGTTTTAGCTGCATGTCAACAGGGGGTGATCGTTGCAGCTTCCTACATCTCACTTTGGCGCTTGTAACTGTGTCGTCACGCGTAGTCAAATTAGTTCGTAAAGTAGCTTCGTAAGTGTTGTGAGTACGTCGTCGCTCCCACTTTGCTTCCCTTATTGGTTTATTTTTATTTTTTATTTTTTTTGCCACGAGACAGTTTAAAAAGGTCCTTTACCGAAAAGCATGCCTTAGACAGACAAGAGCGTCAGATCAAAAGGAACTGTCTCAGGGATGTCCAATTGATTGTGATACTTGTGTGTTGTTGAAGGTCTTATATTACACTCGTACTGTGGTTGTTTACAAATGGTGAAGGACAAGCATGCTTTTTGGTCAGGTGAAATGTTCTGTTGTTTCGGATCCTTTTTGCACACATATCAGCAGCAAAACTATACTTGAATGCAATGTCTGAAGTGCACATTTTCTGGTTCATTTCTCTCTCAGCTGATAAAGCAACAAGTCATTGTTTCAGCTCTGAGGCGCCACCGTGTCAGGGCTACAGATGAAAACAGCGCAGACAAACACTAGCAACTGTTCATGTACTGTGTTTGATGTAACTTGATTTTTAGAATAAAGAGATGGTTCAGGTGTTTTTAAAGGAGTCTCTGAGAAAAAAATCATAAGCAGTTAATACCTTATCTCCACCTAATAATAAGAAAAAGGGAGCCTAAGGGCCGGAATATTCTTGCTTTTTAACCTCGCGTTGGCACAGGCAGCATCTGTGTTCACGTATTTGCTGCATGTAGTACTGGAGGATTCCACTAGGGAACACACACGATAGAGAGCTGGGTTTGTGGAGTACAACCAAAACAAACATCATAGAAGAGATCAGTAACCAGTTAATTTTGAGATCATGACAGAAAAAGACACAACAGCTGTATCATAGATGGGATGAAAGGCCGCTAAATCAGAGATGGAGTCGCCATGGTGAGTGTGTCTCGTTTGTTTTGTTATCTCTGCCTACTGGTTACTCGTACACTGCAGGTTTTAAACGCGTTGCGTTAATTTTGGAGAACACGCACAAATGACGCTTCAAATCAACACAAGTTACGCGAGGCAGCCATTTCAACCATGCATACGCGTTGTTGAAAGGCAAATACATTTTAGCCCTAAGTCTCCTCCCCTTCCTGTTGGCTCTTGGGAACGTGAACGGGGATATAAAAGCTATATTCTGATCAGCTTTGCCTTACACTCTGAATCACACACAAGTTGTACTTCAATTTCAATGAAAAGTAATGATGTGAGTTTTGACTATTTATGTCACCTACTTTGAGATTCATTAGCTTGTAAAAATGTGTAGTTAAAATGCCCAGAAATCACAAGTCACATATCTCACATCACAGCAGAATCTCATGTCCCCCAACGTAGCTGCCACTTTCCACATGGCCAGATTTGTGCATTTAATGCTCCTTCTTTTGTCCTGGAAGAAGGATGGGAATCACGCTAAACTCAGCCATTTTCGTCTCATAGTTCTTCTTGTCTGGTCGGATGGTATCCATTTGGTAAGATTAGCCTTTGGAGTCCTCTACAACCTCAAGTAACTTTTGCCACCTGTCAAAAAAAAAAGCTTTCCTGTCATCAAAATGTGTCTTTAGAATGTTTAAATCCACGGCACACACCAAACTGGATCAGAAAATAACTTTTATTAATAGCAGCAGGGGATCGGTGGACTGGAAGTAGATGGGCGTGGCTTAGGCTCCCTATAGAGATTATTTCTGACCAAACACACAAGTGTACAACTTTTCTTTTGCCTTAAAACTTCTAATCTCAAAACTTTCACAGCCGTTCATGCCAAAGCTACTTCATAAACCTTTGCTCCATTGTTGGTTTCAAATGACATAGTTATTTTGGCAGGGCATTCTGGAAATCTTTAACTGGAAGTGTCACTATGAACTAGAAATTATATGTAGTCACTATTGTTTCTGCCAATAACCTCAAAATCAGTAAGACTTTAACTGTTTATAACTTTTCCACAGAAGCCCGCTTTAACATTTCTGAACTCTGCCTTTCAGTGAATGTACGTTAGGCTCTAGAGAATGTCGGACTGATTCTAGGAGTTATCTGTAGTTCATGAAGATTTGCTTTTCTGTAAGTTTCAATCAGTTTCTGCTTCCAGGGACTTTATGCTTCTTGCTTTTGTAATGGAGATCATATTTCCAAGTACACAGCCAAGGAATGCTACATTCATGAGATTCAGTGATACAATAAAGAAAATACAATGTTAAGTCAGAGATGTGCAGTTGTCTCATCCAGCCAGCCATCCTTTGCACTAACAAAGCTTCCTTAGATCAATGTGAAATTTCTGGCTGCTGAGAAACAATTTTATGTTCAGACACCGAACACGTCTTCCAGACAGAGTGAACTGTGTTGGAAATGTTGCAACAATATGGCAATATTCTGCTCTTTAGAGAAGAAATTAGTGGTCAGACATACATAGAAGCCCTTATTTCCCCTGCAGACTCCATGCTGCCTGTGCTTATAGGTCTGTTTGTGTAGCCACAGTGACCCCTTGTGCTCAATGGTGCATAAACATGTGAATGTTCTGTGAGTGTTCAAACCAAGTAGATATGTTGTACAGAGTTCAGAGTGATGCAGATTTTCACCTCGCTCTCTGCTGCTGTTTGTGCTTGTTGATATTAGATGTGTGTGTCTCTGTTTTGTTTCTTACATTTAGTAATTTGAATCATTTTTTGCCTCACGTTCTTCTATAAAGGCTAGGGTCTGTGGCTTGTAAGTTTATGCATCAGTGATTCAGGGGTTCATTTGAAACTTTTACTGCAACCCAGTGTCAGTGCTTATTTGTCCAGGTGATCCCAGCAAGTGCAGTACTTCTTACACTTAGTGTGTATTTGGACAAAATTGAACTGTCAGGTTTGGCTTAGATGTCTCTCAGAAGCCTTCCTGACATTAAAATGAGCTGGGACAGCAATGCAAATTTGTAGTTTTCTTTATTTGACTTTTAATGTTTAAGGTTTGGATCGTGGTGCATATATTTGACTATGAATGTACTTTTATTTTAATTTTCTTCCAGTAAATATTTTTTTTTGTTTTCCAATTGCACAGTATAATCATTGTGAAAAAATGGAATCATATGAATTTGTGAATGAGTGAAAAGTATCAGTAAATGCCTGCCATACTTAAATATGCACACCATAAATGTAAGTGCAGAAAGTTTTTGTTGATCCAGAAGTAAGACAAATGTGTTATATAATTCATGGTGGAGTACTGAGTTAAATGTATAAAAAGGAATATAAATGTTATATGCAATGTAGCTATATCATGTGATAATGAAAATGTTATTGAAACATGCAAATGTCTAATAAAGTCTATGACCAACAACAAAGGTTTGATTTGCATCAATGATTTAGCTGTTTGCACACAAATAAATACATCATTGAAGGTGTGGAACATTCGTTTAATCAACACATTTGCAGTGGTCTCTAGTAGGAATGAAGGCCTTTTAAGTCGTGCTCTGGGGAAGAGGGAAGCACCATTTTCAGGATCTTGAAGGCCCATTCCCAAAACTCCCACTTCCTCCCTTGTGCCCTTCATTCGTGCATTCTAGGCCAGGGGTGTGAGTGCGTAGACAGGACTGTTCAAATCCGGTCCTGGAGGGCCAGCACGTTTTAGTTTTAACTCAGCTTCAACACACCTGATTTCAATCAGCAGGGGATTAACAGGTTTCTGCAGAGCCTGATGAGCTGCTGCACAGGATATTCAACCACTGAATCAGCGAAACCACTAAGGCCTAGTCCACACGTAGCCGGGGTTTTTTAAAAACGAATATCCGCCCCTCCAAAAACTTGCATCCACTCCACCGCGTTTTAAAAAATAACTCTGTCCACACGTACCCGGATAAATACGTTGTTAAGGACATGCCAGACCTGTAGGCGGCAGTACTTCCCCCGTTCTTAACCTCGTCCTTCGTTTGTGGTCTTCCGCCAGGAGCAGTAATTCCGCTTGCAAAAACAAACAAGCAAAAACCGCTTGGACGATTGATGGATCGGGTAGTGACAGAGCGCAGCTCTGAGGGCTTCCACGATGCCGGCTAGTGTAAACACAGGTCGCACACGTGATGTCAGCATTTTTTTGTCGTGGAAAGTGACGTTGTGGACCTTAAAACTCCGGTTTTGTCCGTCCACATGCAGACACCCAAAACGGAGAAAACGCAGATCTTCACTTTGGCCGGAGTTTTTAAAAAGATCCGTTTTCGTGTGAAAAAACTCCGTTTTCATGTGGATGACAGGCCAAAACGTAGAAAAATATCTACGTTTTGGCAGATCCCCGGCTACGTGTGGACAGGGCCTAAAGCAGGCTGGATACTGGCCCTCCATGCCTGGAATTGAATGCTCCTGGCATAGAGTGCCCCAATCCTCAAGTGCGGAAGTTGACCACACCCCTTTTGCACAATTGAGGCAAGAATATCACCCACAACCCATTGCTGCAGGGGAATTTTGAGAAGAAGGCAGAGCAATGGCTCAAGTGCCTTTTCTGAGGATTTGTATTTTATGAAAGAAGTTCATTTCATGAAGAACAATGATGTTCATTCATGCTCAGAATGTTTTAGGCTAAGACCTAATGTGGACAGTAATGCATTTAAATGTGGTCAAATAATTGTTTGTTTGAAAGTTTTTAAAAATTACTTTTTAAAAAGTAGCACAAACAGCGACCGGTATCCTGCATGCGTCGCGGTCGATGACGCAGTGCTCACACTTGTGTACTCATGTGTAATATATGCTCAAAGCCTTACTGGGCACCTCTAAGTGCACTTCACAGAAGGGTGTAGGACGCAGTGCGAGTATTGGGATTGGGCCGAAGTGAGCCACATCACAGCTGAACTTCAATCGCCGTGTTTTGGAGTCATTTCCTGACATTTGGACATCTCGCCTCAGATTGGGTAACATCAGAGCAACTCTCTGGCTTGCAATCTTGATGTTTTATCTCCACAAATAACACAAGCCTGGAGGAGTTCTGCCGTGTGGTGGAGTTGCTAATTCTAAATGTGATGTAGTGATGTAGACCTTCTTCTAGCCTAGATGTTCTTTGCTGTTTCCTGGATGCTAAACCTTCAGCTTTCCCCATTGTGAGTGAAGATGGGTGAGTCCATGAATGGGTGACAGTGTGACGTAGATTTGTCCGATTTTTCTGATCCTAGAAATTCACTGTCTATTTTCTATCAGAAGCTAATGAAGGAAATAGGTGTATGAGACTTTTTTTATGTTCAGCCTGCATGAAAAACTCGAGTGGTTATAATCAGAAATAAGATTTGCTAAATGTATTTTCAGTGTTCCACACCTTTAAAATGAAGGAGACAATAAAAAAGAACATTTCAGTGATTTAAAACCCTTTTGACACCAGTGACATTGCAGCCTATGCAGCTGAAGTGGAGGCCCATGCCACCAACTACCACCAGACGGACTTCATTCATCGCCAGCCGGGCCTCAATCAACATCTAGAAGGAATGCATTATTTAATAGGCACCGTATCACCAAAATAACTACTCCTGCCACCTATTGTGATGGTAGTAGACAGACATTTCCAAAAGGACACAGGAATCCAGTCCTCAAATGGCACAGGATCACCAAAATATTCTGCACTCTAAACCAGGCTAAGGTAGTCTGGGACCCGCAATCAAGGGTAAAAGGTTTATTAGGCGGACATTTGAACATTCGTAGTATGAGACCAAAACGTGAACAGTTGGAGCATCTATTGTGCAACTCCAATATTGACTTCCTCTGCCTGTCGGAAACATGGCTGAACCGTTCTATCCCAGAAGTTATAGTAAAAATGCCTAATTATAATGTATTTAGGAAGGATAGAGAGAGTGGGAGGGGTGGGGGTGCATTAATTTGTTAGAAATTCTCTCAAGTGCACAAAGATTGAATGGCCAAGTGACATAAATCTGGAATGTGTAGGTGTAGAAATATCACTTTCTGAAACAATGTCTTTTATTGTTGTGTGTAAACAGAAAGCCCACAGCAAATAATTTTTTTTATGATTGACTTAAACTTCTTCTTAATCATTGTGACAAAACCAAGGAAATAATTTTATTAGGTGATTTTAATATTAAATGGGATGCAAAGAAATAACGTTCAAACATCAAACAAATAACCGATTACTTTAATCTTTCTGCATGCATAAAATTAAGACCAGATAAAGGCTATGGTACTAGAGCCTCCACTAGAGGAGACCTTCAGATCCCCTACAGGAAAACGACGTTCGCACAAATGGTACTGTCCGTTAGAGGGAGTCAATTTTGGAACAACATCCCAGCGAATATCAGAGAGTTTCCCACTTATAGCACCTTCAAAAAGCACCTCAAACTACATCTTAAAGGTTCCCAGACATGTTTGCATCTTTAGTTATTCTAATTTTTTGTTTGTCTATTTTTAATGGAATGCTTATATCTGACTGTTTTTAAATTGTATAGTGTTACTTGTTTTACTTGGTTATCGTTTAGATGGACAACAGATGCAAATTAGCAGCTATGCTATAATCTGGCCCATTTACAATCGATACAATGTATTTGATTGTTTATTAATGTGCATTGTCCTGAATAAAGAATTGAATTGAACATTTAGTTCTGGACCTGGAGGATCTTTGTCTTGCATGTTTGCAGACATTCCTGTGGTCCAGCACACCTTAGTTAAACCTGAACATTAATTTCAATCAAATGTGTTGGACTAGAAAAACAACAAGGACCAGGGTCAGTGCGTCACCGAAGGTCCTCTAATTTGTGGCAAAGGGCCCATTTACCCAGCTGGGTCAAGCTGGGTCAAACAGTACTTTTAAATCCACAGAATAACCCAAGGAGCCACGATGTCTGCAAGAACATATCACCATATCTGCAGCTGTTCCATCCCAGGAGGAGGACACTTCAAGTCACGATGATAATAATTAGATAATAATAACACTCAGTGATTTTACTACTGTTTAATATAATCTCATAAATGATCACTTGGTTCAGTATAATGGTATTTTAACTACATGAAATGAATTTATGCTTTGGGTATAATTAATTATAATAATGATTATGATGACAGTAAAAGATGTGTTCAGCAAAGAAGGTCAAGTTCACCTTATCCAGCTAACACAGAGTCCAGATAAACGATAACTGCAACACATGGTTTTGACGCATGATCAAAGCTTTCTTCCTGTGAGAGTGGGAGTGTCCCGTGAGCTTGGTAAAACTAACCATCACCAGCTTCAGAGTGAGTTCTTGAACCAACACCACGGAGGAAAGGGGAACTGACGTCCCTAAACCTCCACCTGCTGTTCCAGTCACGCCGACCAGAATAGCTAAACGCAACCGTAACCAGCTAACGAAGACTCCACCCAGAGTCATTGATTTCTGAGTCAAGTTAAGATGCAAAACTCATTCAGAGTTACGGACTTTGAGAAGCAAATAGTTCCACCAGTCGAGTGACCCAAGGAGACATCTCAGGACCGGTATGGTCGTGCTAGAGGTTTTTCTACCAACCTCGTGCCTGGAGGAAACCCATCTCCACCTGGACACTTCGGATCCAAAACGGGGGTCTTCTGATTGGGTGAGGTAGACTTCGACAGAATGTGTTTGATGCTGTTTTCTCTAAGTGAAAGGCTCAGTTAGCCGCAAAACATCAATTCCATCCAGAACGCCTCTGCTCTCTGTGAAAGAAACCTTCTAATAATTTCATTCACGCATCCAAACTCGCATTTTCAATTTAGTTTCCATCCAGCCACAGGTGTTCTATTAAAACCAGTTCAATATCAAGCTGTTAAAAATTGTCATGAAATTGTCATCCTTGAATTGTCGTTTATGATTGTTGTTTCAAATCTTTAAGTTTAAAATGGTTAGTAATAAATTTCTTCATTTTTAAACTTGCCTCATTATTGAAACGAAACACAGAAAAGGTATAATATTTCTGGTTATTTGAAAGCAAAGATTCCTAGCTTCTGATTCAAAATAACTTTTGCTATTAAATTTAATTATCTAAATTAAACATTAATCTTTGGATTAAAATTAGATCAAATAGGTTGATGTATGAACTTAGATCGATGTATAATTATCCGGGATATTTATAAACATATGATCTAAGCCTCATAGGTTAATCTGATTGGTCATTTTTCAGAATCTCCAACTGAATAGCAACAGAGGTGATTTCAGTGTGTAGTTTAATTCTCTACAGCCAGTCACCACTGGTTTAGGACTCAAAATAAATAAAATAGGCATGAAGGGTCAAAGTTTTCCACAAATGGATGCATCAAACTGTACTATACTATGTTAATTGGCAACAATAAACTCTTAAGTGGCTTAAGGAAAGTGGTGTTATGTTTTTGCTTTTATGTTCCAGTTTAAACCTT